TTTCTTGGATTTGCATATACAAATTAACAACGTACGAGATTTCACGACTAAAGTGTACAGAAAGCCATCCTATAACCCTATATTTATTCCGTGGTCCTCTCACGATCCTCCAGCATATAAAATAGCAGCGTTTAGAACGTTAATCTCAAGAGCTTATTCGCACTGTAACAATACAAAAGATAGAAACGAGGAACTGAATTATATATATAACTTAGCCAGAAAGCACGGGGTTAATCTTAAAGCTATTATCAACAAGAGTAATAGGAGCATTAAGAGGAGAAATTTACCTCATAATGAAGGAGTTTTAACGATGGAATATAATGCTTCGTTGAATAATATTTTCCGACGCATAGGAAAGGCCCAGAACAAAAGAATCGTATATAAAAGAACCCCCACCACGTACCAACTATTACGATCTGATAAGGATTTAGTGGATAGAAGAACACTCCCCGGGGTATATAAAATTCCAGTCACAGACTCAAGGCGACGAAGTAAATTAATGTATGTAGGGGCAACAGGAAGATGTATCAAAGACAGGTTAGCAGAACACCAAGCAAATATAAGAAAAAAACAACCATGCACTGCGCTAGCCACCTACGTTCTAGCGGACCAGCAAGACGTCAAAGTTGAATGGGACCAAGCAAGACTAATGCAGATAGTCCGCGACAAGAAACACCGGCATTACGCGGAAGCCTGGCAGATTTGTAAGGCAAAGCATAAAGGCCTTGCAGTCAACTTTCGGGAATCGACAAAAATATCGGCAGCATGGTCCTCTAGTTTAATATAAACTTAATAATTGAGGGAACTAGTTACTATGTATCTTAGGCTACGTATTTTTAAATGATGTAGGGAGAGGGTATATATGTGTATTTATATTTAGATATTTATGTAATCTTTTTATATTTCCGTTGCTAAGTTCACAATGACGTCATTTGCAATGGATTATAAGGCTAGTTCGAAAAGATTCAAAAAACGTGTTAACTGTACTAAGCATTCGATTTACAATTTTGTTGTTTTATTTGATTTATTTTCTTGAGAAAGGTCTTTTAACAAGACCGAAAACGTTAGAAAGTTTCTCTTATAAACTTTGGCTGCAAGAAAAGGTGTTTGAGTAAGTGTTTTGATATTACAGTATATAGTCTAGAACGATTTTAATATATTATTTTCAAAAATTGAATAGAAACTTAGAAATTGAACATTTCTGAAGTTTTTGTTTTTATCAACACTTTTATTAGGTTTTGTTTTGATAATTGAGGAAAAAATTCCATAATTTTACACAAAATACTTACACATTTTCTTAATGCAATAAATCTGATAAAAACACTTTTTAGGAACCAGTTTGGTATTCTTTAATTTATTTTTGAATAAATGTTTTCAAACTTATTCAAACTAATAAACTAGAATGAACAATGCAATATCACTGAAATGCTTTTGCATTTTTAAGAAAATATATTTTACTTTATAATATTTATAACATCAATCATACGTTTAAAATAATGTATGACAGTAAAACATGGTAACAAATTTCACATAAACTCAAAAGAAACATAAATTATGAGGAGTTTTATATTTTTTAATCTCTAGATTGGATAAAATAGCTCATGGAAGACAATGATGGAGAAGACTTTTATTTTGAACTTATCATTCTCAGTATGCAAAAAAATATCCTGCTGAGGGTATAATTACAAGGTATATTGTATATTGATAAAAATATTGATTTTATATTTGAGATGAAGCGTTAGTGAAGCCTGTTCTATGTGGCTTACAATATTGCATTGACCTCAAAATTTGATTGATTGATTTTGATTAAACTTTGCCATTTACATTAATTGAGAGGAAGAATCCAAAAATGTAATAATGGTCCATGTAAGTGTAAAAAATAGGGTTCCATGATGTTGATATACAGTGCTATTAGTGATAGTTTTCATGCTGCATGATCAATAAAGTGCACCCAACAGAATTTAGGAGCTAAAAATAAAACAGAACTGCGTGAACCTAATGGAAAATAGTGCAAAAAACGAACAAAACACAAGAAGAAAACAGTCAGCATTGATTGCTTTGTTCTTGGATCGCCTCTCCATGTTAGCAGGTGCAAGGATTGTCCCTCTGTACCTGACCAACATAACGATTACCTCTCCTGCAAGCGGCAGGTATGAGGACTGCTTCTCTAGTGGAATCTTATATACTACTATTGTATCATATACTGTATTTGAATAAGGTTGAAAACATTACTCTGGCACACTAATTTTATTAACTGTATGAGTATAGGGGTAAAATCTAAATTATTGGAAGTGTGTTTCAGTTATTGCGAACAATGATGATGCTGACCAAACTATTTTTCGACCAGTATTAGATCACTTTTAAACAAATCTTTTTAATGATAAAATAATTTTGTACTGTTATTTATTGGGGTGATGTACAAATTTATGGTGTGTGATTTCACTTTTTTTTTTTTTTTTAGTGTAGTATTGTCTTGGAATGAGATACTTGCATTGTGTTTGAGAAAACAAAATAGATGAAAATCCATAGGAGCCAGATCTGGATAGTCTGGCAGATATTGAATGGTCTTCCAGTTAGTTGGAGGTGTTGATTCATCAAAATTTCATATCATGTTCCTATTACACGTGTTGTTGCCGGGAGTACGGGTACCACATACACTCACCAATATGACAAAAATCAATCTGTTGCCATCTGTGCCACTCTGCTTTGTCAGTATTGCCATGCTTATGAC